TTCATATGGTCACACTATTGAGTGGGCCCCTAACAGCTAGCCCTGAGCCCAGATGCTGCAACAAAAGTGCTCAGATACCATGATGATGGGCTCAGCTGATGAGCAGAGTTGAGGTTAAGTTGTAGTTTAAGGCAGCAGAAAAGCACCAAGAAACAAAAGGAACAGGTAAATAGCGAAAAAGGGCAGAAAACACCTTATTGCACTGAAAACAGCCTAGCAATAGGCTGCTGTCCATCTGGGCTGAGTAAAGTCATACCAGTTCACTGGATAGTGAGGGAGTAAATAGGTATTTTGCAGCATCTGCTAAAGTGTTACAGCAGTTCTGCTAACTGAATCAGCCAAAAAATCAGTCAAAAGCAAACCACCGTGTACGGTCACCCACTTTGCATAACGTCTGCACAGAGGGTGCAGCAGCCCAGGGGCGTTGAACTTGTTGCTTCTGCCATCTGCCTCCCTGTCTGTCTCTCACACGGGCTCCTGTGGTGGTTGCAGGTGTGGTCTGCAATAACATGTGCTGTCCCCAGGTGTAGGAGGGGAAGTTGCACTTTGTGCATCTTCCCCTCGAAATGCCAAGCCCATCTTTTGTGGGAACCATGTGTATGCAAGGTATCTGTGAGCATCCCCTCTTGCTTCCCTGTGATTAGCATTAAGAGTCAGAAGAAAGTATGCCGAAAGATGGAAGCTGTGTATCCTCTATCTTACCTATTCAAGCAATCTCTTCTGTATTTTAATGAATATGTCCTTGGTTTGCCCTGTCTTTCACTTCTAGTGCCAGTCTTCAGTCCCACAGATAATTAGGACAAAGTAATCCATGAAGCCATTTTTTTTCACAAACAAACAGAATAACAAACACCCTTTGACACTAAAAAGAGGAAGTCAGGGTTTACAGGGATCAACAACTTAATGAGCTGGAAAAAAAAAAAACAACAAACCACCAGTGGGTGCAGAATTAGAAGGATGCAAGTGCATGTGTATCTTTAAAGAAATGTGCTTTGTGTTCTATATATTCAGTGGTCTAATACGAGTTAGAGAATGCCATTGTCCTTTCCTCGGATCAGGAGACGAGAAGGGAGGCTGAATTCCTTCTTCAGGAGATGTTTATCTGTGTCCTTAACCCATGCGGTTGCATGAAGATTTTTATGATGATCTGAGAGATTGTATGATGAGATTAGAACTGTTAAGAACCAATATTCAGTTCTTCCGTTCTCAGAGACAAGGGTGAAGAGAGAGTTCAAGGAATGGAAAGCTGTTGACAATCCAGAATTGGGGAGGGGGTGCTTGATTAGTTTGAGAGCTGCTTTTTAATTGTTTTTCATTATTTATTTTTAAATTATTTTTTAAATGGAGGGTAAGTGGATTGCTGGCAGTCTTATTTGTGCTTTTGCAGATTTGCAGATTTTTCAAGAGGGAATGAGAGGTGGAATCTTATGCTGGAATTTCCTGGAAATTTCTTGGTTTGTTGTATTAAATGTGCAGACTTTCCAGTTTTGATGACATTCTCATAAGCAGCAAGAGGGAAATTTATAGTGTTGTTTTACTGGAGGATGGGTGTTACTGAAGTAAATAGAAGTTTCTTTATATTGTCAAAGTTAGAAACTTCTTGTTTCAGGAGGTCCAGAAAAATTCTGTGTTGAGATGAGATTGAAAAGATTAGGCAGACTAATTTGGTTTGAAAGAATAAGGTGAAGGAGAATTGTGTTGGTGTAGAAAGTCTGTTCTTATTACTAAAAATTTATTTTGACCTTTGTGGAGATAGTAATTTCACTTCCTGATAAATGAAAATTTTGGATGATTGCTCCAGGTCAGGCCTATGATACTTGAAAAATTCATCAGCTGTACTGATTTGTTTTGACATGTTTTTTGGCCTACTGCCAAGTTTTGAATTTCTGTTTCTTCTAGGTATTTGCTTGCAGTCAGTGTTGCTTGTTGGTTTGAATCCTCAATACCTTGGCAGTTGAATAGTGTTCCCCACAGGTCCCAGTGTTGTTCTTCAGTCCTATTTAATAGGATTCCAACAACAAAAATGAGACAATCATAAATAAGACTCCAATAATAAAAAATGCCTTTTCAATTTTGTAATTAATTGGGTTTGCTTGCTTTTCTCTTGCCTAAGACTTAGATTTCATTCTAATTTTTGTTAATGCTTAAGAAACAGCATTGTCAAAAATTACCGCATTTATTCAGATTACTCCAGTGCCTTTGGCTTCTGTCATTAGGACAGCTTAGTGAAGAGTCTAACACGAAAATAGCTCCCATGACTTCAACAATGAAGTCTTTACAGAAACCTTATTCTCATAAACTAATTAATTTTCAGAGTCATCCCAGGCAATAGAATGATCCAGCCCCGCAACCCATGTTCAAGGAAAATGTCTGGGTGAATAGGTCCACATGGGTTTTTGGGGCAGAATTTCCTCTGTTGCTGTTACATGGCGAGCGCTTGGTAGCAGGATCGCTTTTAATTAGCACACATGGCAGTCGTGTAAATATGTGTTTCTAGTGATGCTGGTGAAAAGCCACTGAACAGATGGGAGGAATTCACATGGGGGTTCAGGTCAGAACTAATTCACTTAATTGAAAAATTAGGAATCGTTCCCCTGTCGAGTGGGTATGAGTTAAAGACAGTGTTCCAGTGTGCAGATTGCCTTTCCCGCTTTTTGTATGGTGAAGAACCAAATAGATTCGCTCTGCCATCTTTATTTTTTCTGGTTTTTTATTGTTTGCCAAGTAGTACATCTCATCCTAAAAACAAGGGTTGGTTTAATTCCAGCATTTGGTGAGTTGTTCTTAAATAAACTCTGGATCTAAAAAAAAAGAAACGTGACCTGTGTACTTGTATATACTGGTTTGGTTTGTGTCGATATTTGGAAAAAGAAGAGAGTAACGGAAGTTAGACAAACAGATGCCCAGAGCCATCTGCTCCTCTCCTCACGGTCATTAGACATTCAGCTTGGAATAGCTCTCCTTTCCTTCAGGACTACGTTGGCTGGCTTTAAAGTGAGCACAAAATGAAGTGGAGACATCTTGCAGGCAGTCACAAACTTCCACACATTTGCAGTCTGGTTTACATAAACTCTTCTCAAAAAGCATCGCAATTGCTAGCCGTACTGGAAAGCCAGTTTGCAGTGATGCAGGGCTGCTATCACAGATTACAGCTAAGAAGCTCAGGATCATTCAGGGGCAGAATAACAGTTTCCCAAGGCTGGCTTAACCTAGTATATCTGTGGTTGGACAGAGCTCAAAGAGACAAAAATAATAAATTATTGATGTCTGGAAGACATAAAGCTTAATAAAGAAGTAGTAAGTCAAAACACTTTCCTTTTCTTAGAAAAATAGGCTGACTGTATTTGTTTTAATTTTCCTTTGATTGAGCATTTTTTTTCCTGTTGCTCTTTCCAAGTACACTAAGGTGCTGAAATTTAGCATAAATTGTACAGAAACTAGGGAAGTTATACCACTGCCATTCAGGCTGAGAGAGGGAAGGAGAATTAGGGATGTTTTCTGGAAAAGACTTTTGCTGATTTTGCTAGCAGGCAGGGTGGGTCTGGAACAGCTGAGCGATTGCACAGCTCTTTCCATCAGTGTCTCCCAAGTAGTATAGCAAAGGAGACCCCATTGTGTGCCTGCAGAGACATGAGCACACAGAGGTACAGTAATTTTCCCAGCATCATCCCTCTGGTTAACATAAAAGCAAACGTTTAGAGTGTCTTCCGTCTCATACACATTCTTTGCTGGCAGCATAAGCTGGGGAAAGCCTTTTGAACGAGCACAGGTAGGAAGCAATTTAAAAGAAGACTGGTGTGGGATTTTATCACTGGCCACCACCACTACTCTGCTGACAGTGACAGGGATCCAGCCCTTGACCTCTAGCAGGGTCTGAGTTGGGCAATGTGCTAAGTCCTTTTGAAAGCCCAGCCAACAATCACATTTGGAGATCACCTTCTGTTTGAAGCGATGGTTTCTCTGCGGTCCTGGCTGGATTTCAACCTGGATAACTCTGCTCCACCTGCTTAAAATCTCTCCTCAGTGTTTCACTGGGTATGGCATGAGCCACTCCTGTTCTGTGATGCTGCAGTGTTCCTCTTCCAGTTTCATACCACCCGCTTGTAAATTGTTTTCTAGATTATCTGTGCCCCTGTTTATTAATTGAGCTGGCTTCCTTGTAATTATTTCAAAGGATCTAAATGTGAAACCAGTAAGTATGTGTACAGCCCTAGTGCTGTACAGTGCAAGTAGCTTCTCTTGGTGTTTATCTGCACCACGCAGCAGGTTGTCATCCCTCCACATTCCTGTTACCAGTGAGGGTTTGGGTTCACCCACATTAGTCTGAATTGACCTGTTGCCACCTGTGAGCACGTCCTTGTTGGTAGTGGAGTTAGAGAAGGGCTCTCCATGAAAAGAAGGGGGAACTATTGCTCAGCAAAGGTGTAGGATCCACTCAGGTCACTGGAAGGTAGTCACATCTGTTCTTTACATAGGCACAACAGGCAACGTAACACCTTTCCTTCCACAGGTGGCTGGCTAGAGGATTTTATCACAGTGGGTTTATTTTGTGACCTCAAGCTTCCACACAAAGTCTGCTCCCCTTCCCATTCACCCCTGCTTTCGCTTTGTATTTCCTTTTTTTCCTTCCTTCTTGACATGTCGTTATGTTTTCGTTAATGTATCAACAACAGATCAGCTTTGTCCCTAGTATTGTCTCCTCCATCTGGACCTTGGAACTGAGAGATCCTTGAAATCCGTGTCTTTCATGTGACTTTTAGGTAGAGTCAGGTGCTTCACTTTCCCTCTTGCCTGCAAGTATTTCAGTCCAAGTTGTAAAATCAATCTGTTCTGGGTACTTTTTCTTCTTAAATCTGACTGCTGCTAACACTATGTTTCTTTCATTAACAGATTAGCTTTATAGGAGACCTGTCACTGACAGCCTGCCCTGTTGTACCCACCACTTGGCAAGAAAACTCCCGAGGAGAAGCTGAGGACAAACCACATCTCGAAGACAGTCTATGGGGACTGTACCGGATCCTCTGAGATCTGCTAAGCTTTCCCTGGTCACAGCTTCTGCAGAGGAGGACTACGTGGGAGACCTGCAGTCTGCTAAGCACCAGCCCCAACTACCCAGCAGAGAGAGGGACAGCAATGGTGTCCCGTGCACACCGTCCAGCTCTGCTGGAGTTTGCTCATTCAACCTGAAATGCACAGCAGCTGCCAGCACGCAGAGGTGCCAGCAATGCCGCGAAGACGATGCTAGCGAGCAGGAAGCCTTCCCTCTCAGGCTCACCAGCAAAGCTGCAGAGGGCCATCCTGCAGCCATAGAGCCTGCTGGTTGCCCCCGGCCAGCAGGCAGCCAGGGACCGGCAGCACCAGCCCCCACTGCAGCAGGAGCCCCCTTGGTGGGGTGGAGGCCAGAGATGATGCCAGCCCCCCAGAGCTCCCGGCAGTTTGTGCAAGGCAGCCAGGCGAAAACCAGCTCCCTGACGCAAATGGATGACTCTGCCTTGAAGCCTCAGGGGACTGATGATCAGCCAGCACTTGGGGTGTTAAATTATTCTTCCCCGGGCGACCCTGTTAGGGGTAATGAGTCTTGTCATACTTCTCAGGCAAACCTTCTGCAAAGAGGGGAAAAAGACAGGGGAGCAGAAAAAAATGGTTCTGCTGCGTGTCAGCCACCCTCACCAGGGAGGCACACCAAAGCCGACCTGGGGAGAGACCCACAGACCAGTTTGGAGGCAAAAGGTGGGGCTGCAGACACCATGCAGCTGCATCCCACAGATAAAACTGAAGGAGTGCAGAGCAGTGAGGCACCAGCCCAACCTAGCCACGGAAGTCCGCATCCCGTACACAACACGGATGCCAAGCCAGGGAGTCCAGGCCTCACCCAGCTCTCCAAATTCAGAGAAACGGGTACAATGACGGTTCAGTCAGACAGCAGGTCTTTAACTCAGGAAGCAGAAAGCAGGACATGGCGAGATGCTGAGGTTCAGGCCGTGGCTACAGTGGAGAACAAATCGGCCTCCACCAGCCCCAGCATCCTTGCTGCCTTCTTAAAAGGGAATCTTCCTGCAGAGGAGAAGGAAGAACTGCACATCATTTACCAAGGAGGTATGGGGCTGAGCCAGTCTGCACTTACTGACAGTTTCTCCTCACAACAGGAGTCCCCACGTTCTCCTGGTACCACGTCAAAATCGACTGTTGTTACAACTGTGACTGCTCCAGCCCAAACCCAGCCTGTCAAACTGCCTGGGGTCCCATCTGATGTGGTGTCTCTGGTGTCAGTAGATAATGCAAAACCTGCTTCCCCCTTCTCCCCTGCAGCCATTACCTCCCAAGGGACATCTGTGAGTAATGCTGAAATGATCAGCGTAGCCTGTGACAGCAAGGATGCTGCTCAGCTGCTGACGGATGCTCCAGTCCCACCAAAGCCAATCCCTGTTGAGCAGCTTACAGTTAACTCCAGTAATCAAACTCCAGCACAGTCTGGGTCTGGCACTGGTCAGCCAAGCACCACTTCTGCTGCCGCTGCCCCAGAAACTGAGAACAATGGGCGAGATTTCATCCACGATGCGGGAAGCGGCCGGTTACCTTTACTCTGTAGCACAGACAGTGAAGTCAAGCAGAAGGAGAGCCTGGGCAGCTCTGAGCCTGAGCCTGTGCAATGTAAAGGTGCGAGTCAAGGGGAGGCTGTTCCTTATCCATCTGTGGTAAAACCAAAGGAAGAAAACTCCATGGTGCTTGATCCTAAAGGAGGTATGCATACTAGCAGCGAGCCTGCTGCTGTCCACATAAAGTTGTGCACGGAGGACACAGGTGAAAAGGGGGAGAGCAGAGGCCCGGGAGACGCTGGCCAGGCTCAGACGGTCGGTGGCCAGAGCCTGCAGGCAGGACTGACACCCAAGTTGAGTGTGAGCTCTGCACGTCTCACTCCTCCCTTGGAGGCATCGGCGGCTCCCCAGCAGCAAGGCCTCCAGGCCCAGGAGTCCAGACGTGAGCTTCACACAGCAGCTCTTCCTGCTTCAGCTCAGGCCTTGCCAAACCTGGGGGGAAACAAAAAGCAGCCCACCCCGGCCATGGAGGCAAAAGTGCAGGTCAAGCAGTCCAAGCACGTCAGGGATGTTGTTTGGGATGAGCAAGGCATGACGTGGGAGGTTTACGGTGCTTCCCTCGACCCAGAATCCCTGGGAATTGCCATCCAGAACCACTTACAGAGACAAATACGGGAACACGAGAAACTGATCCGGGCCCAGAACAATCAGACCCGGAAATCCATTTCCTCGGATACCTCCTCTAATAAAAAACTGAAAGGGAGGCAGCACAACGTGTTCCAGTCCATGCTGCAGAATTTTAGGCGTCCTAATTGCTGTGTCCGACCTGCTCCCTCTTCTGTGTTAGACTGACGTGGTTTACAGGGGTGCATAGATGTCTGCAGTGGTAGAGAAAATCCCTCCCCTCCAGTCTTGAGTCCTGATGTTCAGTTGTGTTACTGGGGTTGTGATGCAGCAACAGTGGATAATTATTCTCCGTTGTTTTCCGAGTAGCCACGTGCTCCATCACGCCGTTATTATTGCCACAGCTGGTGTATTTCCACATTATGCCCCCATCCCAATTACTGTCAGATGAAAAGCTAGGCACTTAGCAAAAGCACAAATTTAAATTGTCACCTTGCTGCAGGGAGAGCAGCACCTTCTGGTAAAGCAAGAAGCAGAGAAACTGTCAGAATTATTATGGGAAGTTATTTGTGTACATCACAAGGTCTTGTACAAAGGGGTGGGCTGGGGGAAGCTGGGCGAGGTGAAACTAAGGTCTGACAGATGTAAAGGTCTAATGCAAGACAACTTTCCTCGTGTGCAAGTTACCCATGCTGAGGTGAGTCCGTGAAAAGGCTGCGGACACTGATCACTGAGCAGTCTCCCTTCTGTTGATACTGTGGGGTACTGTCCTCGTGTGAGCCCCAGAGAGCCAGGTCTTCCCCTCCCACTGAAATGGAGAGCCAGGCAAAGAGTGAGGATCAAGGCTGAAGGATTATCTGTTTGGGAGAAGTTAAGTCAATGGGATATTGATGACTAGAAGGGGAGGTGAGAGAGGGATGGATTCGGTGGGCTTTTTCTCCACTGCATCAGCCGTGTTTAAGGTATAGGCAGGTGATGCACACAGGGCAGGCGAGGCACAGGAGAGCACGTCAGTAGATGTACCTGCATCTGACAGGACAGTGCCCTCACGCACACCGAGATGCTCCAGCCAAGTCTTTCAAAAGCAGTGAGCTGTTCTGGCTCCTCAGCCAGGGAGGGCAGCCCCTGCTCCCAGCCTCCTGCAGCGCTGAGCACCTCTCCTCTAAATCACTCTTCAAAGTGATGTGGATCTTTTTTCTCTCGCCAGAGATGCACAGTAGCGTTTTCCCATAGGAGCAGGCTATCCTGTGCATCTGGGTCCATGAGCCTACATGTCTAGTGTTACCCTGATTTTTTTTTTTCCTCTTAAGTCCTTAACCAATTCTACTTTTTTGCAGTATTTTGGTGCTTCTCTTGCTGCCTTTCAGAAACTGAATACCATTTATTTAGCCTGTGCATATTTTGTTTAACCTAATGCTCTCTATATTATAAACCATTATATTGTTAACTTGAAACATTTACTTTACAGAAGTACTGAAATCTTGAGACAATCTTTGCTGTATTTCTAATGTTAGAAAAGTTGTAGAAACCGCTAATAAAAGGTAGCGTAGTGACTGTTTCTCTAGAAGTGTGATATACAATAATGTCTCAAATGTATGTTGGCCACATTTCTCACTTTAATAATATTTTTCAACCTGGGAAATGTGTTTCCCACTAGCTTTTTATTCTGTCCACTAGAGTTCATGATGGGAGGCTGGGGAACTCCTGCAGTTTGTAGAAAATGTAGTTTTCTATCCAGCAAAGCACTAAGGATATGGATACTGTAACCCTGCAGAGTACTAGAGTTAAATAGGGGTTATTTTTATTCCATTAAAGATTTTTCATTAATCATGATGATAATTTATTTCTGTCTCTAGTACCATACCGCACTTACTCTGTAGATCTTACTCTTACAACTTACTCTGTAAATCTTCAAGGTTTACACAATGTAAATGAGTATTAATTTTTTTTTTCTTTTTTTATTTTTCTGTGAAGCAGACCTGAGGTGGTCCCCTTTTATTTAGGAGGCCAGACTTTTTGAGTCTGTCAACTGCCAAGCCTTCAAAGCATCTGTTTTGGGGCAATTTGTCCCCAGCAGAGAGGTAAAATACTGTCAGATACAATATTTTAACCAGTTCAATGAAAGGTGTTGCCCCTCAGCATAGTACTGAATTGACTCCTAGTTTTCCTCTGGTATATATTAGGGGGCTTTATGACACGTCCTTATTCCATTTCTGTACATTATTTTGAGTCCTTTCCCACTTGATGCTGAATTGCTGATTCTGAAATATCACATTAGAAAGTGTCTTCCCACCTCTGCCTACCAGGAGGAAAGTCTCCTACCTTTTTTCTGTTAGTACTACTGTTTCCATCCCCTTCCCAGCAGTGTCTGAGATGTAAGTTTCATGTGAAATTTTGTGTGGGATTAATATTGGCAGTATCATTAGGTCAGGTTAGTTGACAAGGTCGGTGTCTCTTCCCACGTTGTGTCCGTGTCAGTTCCCCAAGTTGTCCACAGTGTTTGCTGTGTCCTGTCCAGGTCCAAGGCTTTGTGCTGCTCCTTTCACCTCCCTTCTGCCCCCTCCCTCGCCAGCTACTGCCCAGCCTGTCTTCCTGCGAAACAGTTGTCCCTTGGCTCAGCTCACGTCCCTCTCTCTGCTGTCCCCCTCGTTGTGGTGTTGTGAGCCAGCTTACTCTGAACTGTCCCTTACAAATATGCTCAGTCTGAATATATAAATGGTTGTCTTTTTTTTTTTTTCCAGAGGAGAATAAATGGCTGTTGCATATTCACTGATTTTCCATGAACTTTATCCTTTAGCTTAAGCTCTCCAAAGTATTTCTAGTATATGGGTATGAGTTGCTTTATTGAGACCAAACTGGGCTTGGCAATGAATGAGCCAGCCCTGGAATTAACTCTTCTTCGTGAGGAATGGGAGATCTCTCCTTGTTCCCTGCAGCTGCTTCTAGCTGTGTCTTCACCAGCCGGTCCACCCACACCTCCCATTCCAACCAAACTTTCTTCCAGGAAAATTTTGCCAATACATACCACAAAAGGCCAATGGGCAGGTTACTAAGTGGATGCATCTGAACAACTATATGGGAAAACTGTAGTGGTCAGCAGAGCACTGTGCTTTGGTATTCTGGGAAAATATGAATGTAAAGACAAACTGCAAAATGTGGGTGATGCTGCCTGGTGGGCACAGAAGTCCTGCAGGCATGCATTTGAAGCCAAGCAATAATGTGCCAATAACCAATACACAAAACCAAGTTGATAATCACCAATGTATCTCATGGAAAATATTTTTGGTTTTTACTTTGCCTTGCTAGGGCAGACTGTAGGCAACCTGAATAATTTAACACCGGTAATTATATTTTCTCCTGCATACGATGTCTAGATGATGATGTGAATCCTCATAGGGATGATGCGTCTTTCACCAGCAGCAAAACAGAACCACGTTTTGGGTAGTAATTAGCAAATGTTATGCATGTGAGTGGTCTTGTAGCAGCCAAGAAAGATAGTTCTTGGTGTCATGTCAGTGTCAAAAATGGAAGTGTGCTTGGAGTAGCAGTATGGCAGAGGGTAAGGGGAGGTGATCTGTCTGCTACCATCCTGCTCTTTTTCTCTGCCCAGTGACTCACAATCACATTGTATTGGTTGAATGGTTAACAACCAAGGAAATCCATTTTGGCTAATAAAAAGAGGGTTCAAAACAGAAAGCACTTTGTTATTCCCAAGAGTAAATCTGTAGGAGGTGGGGGGGAACCCTGTGTTGCAGCCTAGCCAGCTGAAGTAGCTCTTAAATTCAGTTGTTTGCAAGATGAGAAATTTTGTGAAACAAGCTAATTGTCAGGAAACTCTTCCTTGTTGGTTGCATCTTCTGGGAAGGTTGTCGTGGTCAGAACCAGCAATAAAAGCAGTGAAAAAAATGAGAATGGAAGAGTTACTTCTAGTTTCACTTCAGGAGCTTTTCACTAGGAAAGATAAGAATAAGCATTTCAGTGTTGCCAATACAAAGTTGAAGGAGAACCATTGCAGGTGATTTGCAATATAGTGCTGGATTTCATGTGACGCTGTGACATTCACCACTGTCTGTGTGTGCTTGGCTGGTGTCTGCCAGCTTTGTGTTGCCTTGGGCACAAGTGCTGAAGTCCTGCCTCATTTCTGCTGGCTTGGTTTGGAAAAAAGAGTGGGGAGAACTGGAAGGATAAGGAAGAGAATATCTCTCTTCTCCATTTCAGAGGAAGAAAACTTTGCTTTGCACATGCACGAAAGAATTGCTGAGAAACACGGGGAGGAAGGGAGCAAAGTTGATGTAGGTGCTTCCCATTCCTGTGTCTGTAAAGCCAATATTTTGCTAAAGTTTTGCCCATTTGTTCGTTCTGAGCTCACACATTTTTCATACTGTCGGCATCCCATGGCTTTTAGGAAAATTAACATTAAGGCTGTATATTTTGCTAGTGTGTCTAGGTATATCAAATACGATTCAACAAAACCACTAGGCAAACAACCTCAGTTTATTACCACTACTACCATGTAAGAGCTTGTAAAATGCACCGTTTGGAGAAGTATATTCAAGGGATTCGGGAAAGGTGAATACTCTAAAGATAACACTAGCTTTTATCTTGGATTTCATTACTATTTTGAAGTATTAAAATTAGAAATGGAAATCCAAATGAAAATCGGTGTTGAAGTTGATGGAAAATTCAATCTGGCTGCCACTGGTTTTCAGTTTGGAAATGTGATGGAATCTACCATAGTAGTGTTTCATTATACTTAGCTCAGTATATGCAAGCTTTGTATGAAAGTACAAATTTTATCAGCTTATTACTTCCATTGTCTTGTTCCATGTCTATCCCTCTACACATTTTAAAAATGAATGCAGAAAGTTACCAAGGCAGAGTAAGCTTTTTACACCCAGCTTATGGAAATGGCTGCTCTGAATGAGAGACAACCATTGTCAGGCTCCATGGTCTTAGAAAGTTCAGGGCTATGGTCTGAAGGAAACTAGGAAACACTCCCCTCTTTTTTTTTTTTTTTTTTTTTCCCCTCATTGCTTTTGTACCATCTCAACCTCTGCTGGTTTATTTTGTGGTGACTGTGATGGCCTGTATGAGTGGTCAGTATTCTCCCTCATCCCACAGGTACGCACATAGATCCTTACCTAAATGCTACACACTACCAAATATCTCTGGAGTCACTGGATCCTGCCGTGTTCCATGGACCTGAAGGTCAAGTCCTGTACATTGAA